TTTTATCAAATTGACGTAGATATAAATAATTATCCAAGGCTTTGTGTAAAAATTTTAACTTTGGGAACGCTAATTGACGAATATTATTATATACTGTTCAAAGAAATTAATTACTTGCTTAATAAAATTTGAACTTGCAATTTTGTTTCAAAGTAATCCAATTACTAAACGATAATTATAACGAAACATTTTAATTATAACCTTTTTTTTTACTTTTTTTTTTAGGAATATGTAAGGGTGACTTATAATTCTAGTAATTTTTAATACAGAAAAAACAAGTTGAACTGCATTCATTCCTTAAGGGACAATCCTTTAATAGTTAATTAATACTACATTATCTTTAATTTCATTCTCGGGTTCAAAATTTTTTCGATGAAAAAATCAAAAATGATGATCAAATAGTGAACCTGTATTTGGTTAGGCGGAAATGTTTTGGTTTCTTATTAGATGCTGGAGATCAAAAATTCTGCAGCGCAAATTTCTGAATGATTGCTAATCGTTTGTTTCACTTCGAATATCAAATATACTCAAAACTGTATTTATAGTCATCTCATCCTTCAAATTATGAGAAATTGCCTGAGACCGTAGGGATTCTTGCATGTGACTAGAAAGTTCTTGTTTATCGTTTTTGATACCCATTGATAAATTCGATAAGGCCACAAATTTCAAGGGCCAGTTTGTATTGGAGCAAAAAGTACTGCTAACGTTAACTCCGCTATTTTCAAACGACCGAGCCAAATGCTAATTATAACGCGTTAACATACAGTATATAAGATTCGCGTTGATCTACTGTACGTGACGAGGCGTAGTATGTACTTCTGATTGGAAATAATTTGAAATTTTTAACTTTAAAATTCATATCATTGAAATTTTGTACGCCATGAAAGGATTTGAATATCAATATTATATCATTTTTGCAAAAATTAATTTATCTTTATTTAGTCTGTAAGTATACGAAGTTATTAGTATTATAAAGCGAAATACTTCGATGAAAATGTAAATATTACGAAGGTTTACAGCATCATGCTTCGTGTATACGGAACTGTAAGACCGTCCTCGGAGTATTTTGCATTTATTAACTTTAAGTTTCATTGTAGTAACAAATCATTGCGACAATATTTTATGCTAAACATTTTATAGAACATATCAAATTTAAAATGAAATCAAACAAGATTTATTGTCATTTTATAAAATTTCTAATCTCCTACTTATTATATAAAAATAAAAAAAAAATATAATGTTCAATTTAATCCACCAATATAGAATTGAAAGTTAATCTAGTATTTTGTTTCGTCCTTCTTTTTGTTATAATCATCGTTTTTGTCGAAAAAAATATCAATTAGCTAAAACTAATATACTTTTGTTAAGAAATTAACAGAATCACTTGTCATGATCATATTTGTCGTTGTGATCATATTTGGAGCTGTAATCAGGGGATCTCTTGTCATGATCATATTTGTCGTTGTGATCATATTTGGAGCTGTAATCAGGGGATCTCTTGTCATGATCATATTTGTCGTTGTGATCATATTTGGAGCTGTAATCAGGGGATCTCTTGTCATGATCATATTTGTCGTTGTGATCATATTTGGAGCTGTAATCAGGGGATCTCTTGTCATGATCATATTTGTCGTTGTGATCATATTTGGAGCTGTAATCAGGGGATCTCTTGTCATGATCATATTTGTCGTTGTGATCATATTTGGAGCTGTAATCAGGGGATCTCTTGTCATGATCATATTTGTAGTCATAATCATATTTGTCGTCATGATCATATTTGTCGTCATGATCATATTTGTCGTCATGATCATATTTGTCGTCGTGATCATATTTGTCGTCATGATCATATTTGTCGTCGTAATCATATTTGGAGCTGTAATCAGGGGATCTCTTGTAGTGTTTGTCGTCGTGATCATATTTGTAGTCATAATCATATTTATCGTCATGATCATATTTGTAGTCATAATCCTTCACTTTCTTATAATAATCATCGGATGGGGACCTTCTATAATGCTTTTCCTTCTTTTCGTCATATTTGTCGTGATCTTTCTTGTCGTCATATTTGTCGTGATCTTTCTTGTCGTCATATTTGTCGTGATCCTTCTTGTCGTCGTGTTTGTAATAATAATCGGGAACATTAGGATTGTAATAAGGGTCATATGATTTAACATCAGGATTATAGTACGGATTGTAATATTTATAATCCTTGGTAGGAGCAGCTAAAGCTACTGTAGAAACGAAGCCAAGAATTAGAATAGATGTTTTCATTTTCATTTTTACGATTTCTTTTTTGTTTTCGGGGAAGAATATTGAATTGAAAAATCACTGAAGGATGAAAGGTAGGATTTATATAAGTTTTTTGAAAGGTAATGACGTGAATTCACCTTTAATCATACCTCGAGCAATTTTCCAATAATAGTTTTTTTTTTTTTTTTAATTATTAATTTTTGGCGGTTATCATGCTTATATCGAAATTGGTTAGACATGTTAACCTGTCATTATAAAACAATGTAAACTAATAAGGAAATTTCATTTAAAATCGACAAAATTCTCCACAAAAAAATTTTCCTTTTTTAGTTATAGAAATCTTTTTGGTACGTGATATTTTTTTTAGAATCACGTTTAGTAAGAATTAAGTTGTTTTCTAATTTTAGAGGTTCATCATTCTGGGAAATGGGAGATCAAAAAAAAAAAAAATTAAATACATCTTATACTTTCTATAAATTACCGCAAACGGCTTACTTATAGTATTGCGTCTTCACATTTTTTTGAAGGAGTAAAAAAATGTATTGTTCGGGACAATGTATTATGTTAAAAACTCGGAGGTATCTTGGTAAAAAAAATTTTTTATTATTATTACTAATATAAATTATGAAAAATTTTTTAAAATCACATCATTTGTTTGGATATCGAGCATTGTGATAGATTAGATCTTGGCATTGGAACTATGACCGAAGAAGGCAAAGAATTTAGAAAAGGTATCGATGACAAACATGATCCTCCGTCTACACATGATACAAACGCTATACAAAACTTTAAAGGTTTTTCCTGGGTACACACGTGACTTTATGCGTAGTAAACTTGCGCAGTAAAGATGCATGATGACATAAATTGGCTTTTTGTACCATTATGCTAAGATATATTCAAATAAGTTTTTTTTTTTTTTTTAATATTCCGTGCACAATATTTCTTAAAAATGCAAAATGTCGATAATTCAAATGAATGGATTAATTGGATTGAAGAAGCTATTTCTAAAAGGCATATTAAACATTACGAATACAACTTCTTTAGAAATTTTCAAAGGATTGGGGCCGGAGCATTCAGCATAGTTTATCGTGCAAATTGGAAAAATTCGGATCAATATTTCGCATTAAAGCAATTTTTTAACCTTGATAATGTAACCGTCAAGGAACTCGTTCGTGAGGTAATCATGAACTACAATGTTTAATTCGGCTCATTCATTGATTGATTTAGCTAAAAAATATACATTTGTCAATTTTTTTTTTTTTTTTTTTTAGCTTGAACATCAGCGTGAAGTTGATTTTAACAAAAATATTATTCGCTTTTATGGAATTACGATTTCAAATCAAGGTATAGTGTTGATAAGTTGGTATTAAAGATTAAATATTACTTGACTTTGTTACTTGACTTTAATTAGTGAAATCATTTCGTAGAAAATCAACATGAACAATTCAAAAAGTATTTGTTTGTAATGGAATATGCCGATGGCGGAACTCTTCGAGAATATTTGAATTTTAATTTTGATAAACTTACTTGGCAGGATAAATATAATTTGGCATACCAGTTGTCTTGTGCTGTATCATGTTTGCATGATGAAGGAATTGTTCATCGTGATCTGGTAAAATTTTATTTTTGTTATGTTACTTTTATTATCGTGGCAAAGTTATTAAATTTTATTTTGTTAAATTCCTACTATTAATAGCACTCGAAAAATATATTGATTCATCAAAATAGCATCAAACTGGCCGATTTTGGGTTATCAAAAAGGATTGAATCAGCTTCATTTAGACAATCTGATTTGCATGGTATAATTCCTTATATTGACCCAAAAAGGTTTTCTAGACGAATAAGTAATGATGGTGAGCAAGTGCAACCATATGTATTAAATAAAATGAGTGATGTCTATAGTGTTGGAGTACTTTTATGGGAGATATCAAGTGGTCGTCCTCCTTTTCATGCTGATGATGGACAGCATGATGTTGGTTTGATTTATGATATTTCACAAGGTATACGAGAAAAGGCCGTACCACATACACCTCCTGATTATTATAAACTTTATACAGGTAATTGTATTATTAATATTTCATTTTATTAATTTGAAGTTTTTTTAACGAAATTTAATGTGATCGTAAAATATAGGTTGTTGGGATAAAGAACAAGATAACCGTCCAAATATGGATCATGTAGTTGAAGAGTTAAAAATAATGAGAACAAAGTCAAATATTATAGCGGAAAAGGATCAAATAGATAATCATGAATTACTTTTATTATCAAATAAACAACCACTTCTGAGTACTAATGATTCATTACATGAATTTAAAGTTCCCGAGATGATGGATATCGAGGAAACGAAATCTTCAACAAATAAAATTGGTAATGAAACTATTGATGAAATTGTTGAACTCATTTTTAAGAAAAGTAATGAGGGTAACTTTTTAAAAGTAATCAATCAACATATTTTTGATTACCTTAAGAATCAGAACATTTCCTTGCAAGAAATTACTGATTGGTTGTCAGAAAATCAAAAAGATTCAAACTCAACTTTTTTACTTGGACTTTTTTTTGGAATCTGGACAAAGGAAAATGAAAAAAAAAGTTTTGATTTATTTTTTGACGCTTCGGAAAAAAATAATACATTAGCACAATATTATGTTGGAGCATGTTACCAATGTGGATGTGGTGTCACAAAGGATGAAAAGTTGGCGTTTGAATATTATGGAAAGGTAGCAGATAAAGATTTTGCAGCAGGTCAATTAGAAATCGGTTATTTTTATAAAAATGGAATAGGTATTGAAAAGGATTTGAATCGGGCCGTTCATTGGTATGAAAAAGCCGCAAATAATGGGAATGTCATTGCTCTTTGCAATCTCGGTCTTTGCTATTTACATGGAGAAGGTATTAGTATAGATTTTAATAAAGCTTTTGAACTATTTGAAAAATCAGCTGAAGGAAAAAATTCAAATGGAATAACAATGTTAGGACACTGTTATGAAAATGGAATTGGAATCGATATTAATAAGCAAAGAGCATTTAAATTATATGAAGAAGCTGCAGATTTGGAAAATGAAATAGCTCAATATAATCTTGCTCGTATATACCAAGATGGAAATGAAATAATTGGAATTGAAAAAAATGGAGATAAAGCAATTTATTGGTATGAAAGATCTGCTCAATCTGGATATCAAAAATCTCGAGACAAATTAAAAAAACTTTTACAGACGGAAAATAATAATGACATGTTGAAATTCTTTCTCATTTAGACTCTCAGATCATCCCAGATGATTTCGTTAATGTTGATATCACGTGAGTTATATATAATATCTTCGTTTCGCTATCAATTAATAGTTCATCATCATCTTTTTACACAACTTTATAATTTTGAGTATTTTTTGATTTTTTTAATAAAAAATCAATCCATCCCGATATCAAGAATAAATATGAAAGGAAAGAGCTTATAAAGATGCTTCTCCAACCATATTCATTTCGATTCCTTGTTCATGCTGGAATGGCCACTTAAGATACTCATTAGTGTACAAGCTTAGTGTTGCCATTATGATGTAGCGTAGGGTTTGAATTTAGAGAGAGGTGAAGATTTGATGGGGTAGGGTCTGGGACAATTCCCTCCAGAGCAAGAATCAAAACTATTCTTCGTATGGTAGTTAAGAGCCGGATTTAGGTGATCTAGAGGTTGGAAGTGCGGGGTAGTTTTGATCGTTCGTTAGTATTGAATAAATAAAAATCACGTATTTACATTTCCTATAAAGGAAATTCTCAAAATATTTAAAAATATAAATTTTAAAAAAAAAAATGACAAATAAATGTTTATATACTTTATTTTTAAAAAATGAAGGATCAAAGATTAAACTATACTAACTTTGCCTTTAAAGGGAATTACTGTTTAAAGTCTTTAAAGAAAGCGAACTTAAAGATAATTAAATTTGGTAAAACTAACTATATATGAAAATATACATATAAATTCTTGCAATGGAAATAATTGCAGTTAAACGAAATTTAATTCTTGAATTTACGAATTGACCCTTTTTTTATAGAATAATTTTTTTCTTTGAATTCTATTTAGTATTTGTTGGGATTTTTCATCAATTCTACTTTGTAATGATTGTAATTCTTTAATTGTTACTCAGTTTAGAAAATGGCAAAAGGCAAAACCCTATATTTCGACGGATTGGTTAGTACTTCAGACCTATCAATCGTGACGTTCAATATTAAACACTAATTCGTGAATTTTGAATCATTGGATATTTATTATAAACGTATTTAATAATTTTAATTATCCTTCACTACGTTATGGAATAACAAGTATGAACTTTTTATATTATAAAGTTGAGCAAAAATAGTATATTACACCCGAAAAAACTTGATGAGAAATAAAATATTGTAAACCTCCAAAAGTTTGGGTCAGTCCTATTTCAAGCCAATCAATGATGAAACACAGCTTGTTAGAATCGCCATAACAAGACGCATGTAATTTCGTATCTCCAACGACAATCGGTTGTAAGGTTAACTTGATTGAAAACTTTTCGACAATTTTATCAATTTTAAAATTTAGAAATATCGCGACATTTCATTTGCCTAATACAGTTCATTACATCTAATGGAGGTTAATTCATCAATAGGTAAAAAAGTTTTAGCAAATAACATTTCGAAAAAAATAGTCAATTATCGAAGCTAGAAATAAAAGTTGTGTTGCGATTTATGTTATACTTTTGGAGGTTGGTGTCTTTATTTAAATACATATATTTAAAAAATATCAAAAATAATTTTATTTCAACTAAATAATAATAATAAAAGAAAATTCTAGTTAATAATCGTAAAATTAATTAAATTTAATTTCCGATTTTAAATTATTGAATAATTAGAAAACAGGAAAAGAACTTGAAATATTACAGGAAAATTATTTCGGGGGTTTTATATAGATATAGATATAGATACAACACACACATATATTATCGAAAAATCGGATACCAAAAAAAGTTAAAAAAAAAAAAGTTAGTGTGCTCAGTAATAGATCTGCAATATCCTTTATTTTATATATTATAAATTGATTCTTTAATTTAGAACAAAAATCCCTCCCTCCCTAAACCCTACATAACGTTCCTATTTTTCGATTTATTTTCATACATCCCAGTTATTGT